TTATATATTAAATCAAATTTTCTATTTTCATATTTCAATATCTTTGCAATATTTGTTTTAATTTAATTAGATAATAAAATTGCAATCGTTGATTTAAGCATTTTTAAATTAAAGCAATTATTTTTACATAAAAATATAAATTATGAAACGGAGAGACATTTATATATCTAATTTTACATATTTATTTTTATTTACGCCAAAAGCAAATTAGAAAAATTCAAAAAGTTTAACTTTATTAAAATTGTCTGTACGAAGTTATGAAACTATTATTTATTATATTATAGATTAAATTTTAATTTCTGCATAGTAATTTAAAAGATTTTCTTTTATTTATGCAACTTTTTGAAAATTTAGACAAAATAATAAGTATCTAAGTATCTAAAGAAGCATGGAAATATTTTAAAAATAATAAACATTGAAGATCTCTAAAAGATGTCTTAAGAAGAACCGATGACTTCTAAAGTGTGTCTTAAAAGTTGAAGACGTCTACGCAATTCTTTTGCAATGTCGGGAAGTACGTCTTTTAGACGTTCAGTCAATGTGTGTACTTAAACACCGTATGTGTATATATTCTTTTCGTTACATCAATGTTCGTTGAAATTTTCGACACTCGCCGATCACCTGTCGGGTGCAACTTTATTTCAGGAAAATCTGAGTCAGCCCACGAGGACTTGCCGGTTGATGACGAAGGGGGGGAACCGTGCCAAGTTTCGGTGCCGTGCTCTTCCTACGCTTCATTTCGAACCTGTGACGTTATCCCAGGCTGCCCTGCAGGGATAATATTCGCCTGTGACCCACCGACTGTGATTTCAACGTGTGACGCCACTGCCAAAAAGGAAACAAATTAGCGTCGAGCGCGAACTCGCGTCTTCGTCTCCTTCGCCTTCCAATCTGTTCATCGTGGACGAGTGTCTTCCAGAATCTTGTACCAGAAACAACGCACGATACAATTTTTGTCATTGTCTTACTCCGAGATACCCACGTCTTCCTACGAGTTCCAACGTCCTTCGACCAGCGAACCGAAAGGACCTCTTCGAATTTTTTTTGAAGCACACTCGAAACACGAAAGAAGGATCGATTCTTCTGCCGATCAAGACACTACGAGTGCTCCGAGAATGTTCTTTGACCAAGTCAACGCGAACGCGATTCATTGACTGTATTACGTCAATTTGGACCGCATACGAAAGCAAGGTGCACATTGCAAGACGGATGCGCCTTGCCACCGCTATCGTCGTTCGAACACGTTCGAAACATCGTGGCATCGTTGCCGCGTTTGTTTTCGGTTCGAGCAGTTATTTATTGTAAAGGATCATCTCTCGTTCGTCGCGAGATACGGCAGGACGACGCCGTGACGATCGTCGAGAGGCGCATCATCGAGTCGGCCGCGTGTGATGCGACGCATACAAGGCTGCCGCTGCTGTCGTCGTCTCGCGTCAGCTTGCGCGACCGCCTCCTCGTCGCAATAACGGCGAAGATGTTCGGAAAGGTACCGCCGTCGAACACGCCGGGTCCGCCTAATAATAACAGCGGCCAAGCGTCAGCCAAGTCGTGCATCAGACCGGCGACGACGGGCACGGCGTCGTGTCTGCCGTGCTTCTCGGTGGAGGAGACGCCGACGGTGAGTGCCGACGACAAGGCCAGACCTTGGCGACCGACGAAGGACAACGTCGACAACGATTCGTCCGTCGTGGTCTCCGAGGCACCCAGCAACTCCCTGCAATCGCCCGCCGGTTTGATGGACGTCATATCCGCGGAGCTTTCTAGGCCCTGCAGGATCGACGAGACAACAACGACCTGCAATTCCGTCTCTTCCAAGACTTCGGCCAAGTGTTTGCCCAAGGAAGGATCATCCCAAATTGGCAGAAATCATGTCAACGCGGTGCAAAAGTGTGCCGCCGGTCAAAACTGTTCGAATTACTTGAAGACCGGTGTCGGCAGATCGCGACGACCGCAGTCCACCACGATCGCGAGAAATCTTAACGTCGACTCGTGTGCCAGAGACTATACGATCGCGAAGATCGCCGCGAAGATCGCCGTGAAGCGAGAGTCCGTGAGCACCAAAGAGCATCAGACAACGTGTAACGAGCAGCAGACCAAGTGCTTGCAGGGATACGCCCCTTCGGGTACGGTCGCTGCCAAATTATCTTCGCCGAGATCTTCCGAGACGATCCAACACATGTCGCTACCGGGTGAAAAGAGATCCGGGAACGACGATCTCGTGACGGACAATTACTTCGCGAGCTCGAATGGCGCGTCCAGCGTGCCGGCGGTTGTGAGCGAGCAGTTGCATCAGAAGCCGGCGTCGAGAACGATCGACGTCACCGACGTCACCGACGGCGCCGGCGATTCCGCGACCGTCACCGCCGCGTCCTGCGAGGATGACACCTGCGACGATTTCGTCATCTCGACGCCGTTCAAAGATCGGACGGTGAGGAGGATCAGCGGCGAGGCCCTGCAGCAGAATTGCGCGTCCTATCTGCCGCAAGATCTGCCGACGGAACTGCAGTCGTCCATCTCGCCGAAGACCTACAAGGAGCTTAAGGAGAAGTGCCGCGATCCTTCCTGGCGACCCACGGAGATGACGGAGAGTGGCGCGGTGCACGGATTGACGATGTGCTCGGGCGAGACGGTTCAGGACTCGAGTTCGAAGAGACGCACCGGGGCGTCGTGTCAGGCGCTCAGGCACGCCGTCGCCTCATTGAACCGCCTGGACGACTTCTACATGGAGAAAATTGGCGCGGGCTTCTTCTCGGAGGTTTATAAGGTAGGATGATATTTAATTAATAGAAAGTTTTGTGATAAAAATACTCTTGCGATTCAACGCGATGAGAATAAGCCGCATGTATTACATTAATATATATTTATCTCTTTCGCACGTAATAATTATAAAAATTGAACTATTATTACAAAAATTGAAAAAAATTATAAATTTTTTTACATATTGTAAAATTATAAAAAATATAATCTAATTTTATCTGGTTAAACGGCACAGCGAAAATCTGGATGATTAGTGCCATTCACCTATCGAGAACGATATCAGATTTCAAGATACATACTTGATTGCATTAGAGGAGGCTCGTTAGAAAGTTTTTCTCCCGTATGGCAATGTGCTTCCTCTTAATTCTCACCATTGTTTATGAACAACAATCGCGAATTCGTAACGGATGTATTTCGCTGTGTGTGGAATGCGTTATCTTCGTTTAGATTAATATCCTTTGGATGGAGATTAGATACGCTTGCTCGCCGGCACGAAGGCGTAGCCTCATAAACTTAATTCCATTCGTAATTACGCGATTACTTATCGGTAACGAGTGATCAGAAGACATTTTGTTTTTGTCCTGGCGCGGTTTTTCGGAAATATTAAATTCTCATTCGATGTATATAACTTATCAGGAAAAAAATCCTCTTTTTCCTTAGTCTTCAGATCGTTTATCGTTTTACTCGAATTTATCATTTACTCGCGAATGGGGAAGTTGCGTAGGAGGATATTTTTTTATTCGATTTAGTGATCGTGAATCATACGAGCATACATAACGTCATGACGCAGTGACGTCACTAATGTGATAATTTTTATCATGTAAATAACGAAAGGAAAAAAATGATATGTTAGCAAGTACTTCACACAAGATCCTGAATGAGTCAAAGATACAAAATAATCTGCTTTTTATTTTAAATTCCTTTTACGATAGTACCAATTATTGTAATACCATTGTAATAATATCAATTATTATCGCAAAAAGTAAAAAAGCACAATGGATTTTTTTTCTCGTAACGTAATGATTTTATAATTAAAGCGACGAGATCTTTTGACGACTAAAAATACCTTGAAGAGAAATGAATTATTTGGATAATGCCGAACATTTGTTACAATGCATTTTTCTATAGAATTTCATGATCGTGCACTGTACATTTGCGTTTACGAATGCAGAAGACGTTGCGATTTAAGAATAGTGTCACGGTTGCTTACGTAAATCATTGTGTATATTTGCCGTAAGCAAGAGCACGTAATTATCGTAGGGTCTTATCCTTGACTTTATTTTTCTTCGACTGATTTCAGGAATAAAAATTTCTCGCTTTATAGATTTTCCAATTGCACGCGAATAATTTATTTAAGATGTTACAATATCACGAGAAATCCGTCGGTTTGAAGTAAAAATTTTATCAAATTTATGAAAGTTATATTCTTAGAGGAAAATTACGAGAGTTGCATGAAAAAAAATTACAATTTCTTGAAGTAATCCTCGAACGAAGCAAGACACAAGATATAAATGTAATAATGATAAATCTATAAGATGAGATTGGAGCAATTAGAATTCCAGCGGAAGTCTTGTAAAGCACCGGGACGGACGCAAATAAATTATGTCGCTTCATCTGCGCGCTATTATCGTAATCGGTGAATCGAGGATGGGCATGTTGATTTGAGATGGAATCGTGTAGCAATTTTGCGGAAATCGATCGAAATTCGCTCGTCGTGCGTGCGACGCCGCATTCTGCATCCCGCGGAGAGATTTATGCACGTCGGTCCCCCCCCCCCTCCTCTCTCCCCCTTCCCCTCCCTCCATCCATTCTCTTTATCGATCTAACTTCATCACGCGCAAGTGGTAAAAGTGGCCCCGGAAAGTTGCCCCAGTTCTGTGATATTCATTCCGTGCAGTCCGTAATTTTGCGCATTTGCCGGCCTGCGATTGCGGCAGATGCGCCCGTCGAGATGACGGCTGTGCTGGACTGCCTATCTACCTACCTACCCATCTGCCTACCTACCTACCTATCTGCCTACCAGCACAAGTCAGCCGAGCAATCCGGGACCTTGAGAAGTATGCCGCGGCTTCTCCGCGGCGTGGATAGGCGCGTTATAAATAGGTCAACAGGAAATTGAGCACGCTTCGTAGTGACTGTGGTGATTCCTCCAGTGGTGCAGCGGTGCGCAAATCTCGAGCTTGACGCCACCACGTAATCCCTCCTGACATTTCTCGAGTGACGAAGTGCCTTTTGAAAAAACCGGGCCATTTTCATTCCTATTTTTATCGGAATATTTTCACTCTAGTTATTCAACATATTTTATAAATTCCCGTGGAGTCACTTAAGCCAGATTAAGGTTGATTTTAATAATAATTAAATGATTGCTATCTTTTCTTTGGGCGAGCTTCAGTTTCGAGATTCGTGGAATAAATTTTCAACGTGCTCTTTCTCTTCTCTCTCTTTTTTCCTCGTTGCCTCCGGCAAGGATAATATTTTTCTGTTCCGCCAGATGTTGGATAGCGCACCTCTGCTTGAGCGCATTAGCGAGACCCTCGTTTAAAAATAAACTCGTGCTTCTCGATGTTATCGTGGATAGAATCGATCCTGTCGTTTGTGCCGTAGGTCAAATTCTACTTGCAATCTCCTCTCGAACATGACTAATATTATTAATCGGAAGAATGATTAATGATTGGGTGCGGTGCGTCAGAGATTGTCAGATTCCGCTGACATAATTGCTCTCGATTTATCGTATTGTCCAATGACATGTGTACAGTTCGGTAAATGTCATGTAACAATTTCGGGCTACAGAAATGTTAAAATTTAATAAGAATGTCATATCATCTTCAAATCTTTCGTTAATTATTTAACCAACCTATAGGAAAAGAAGATTTAATATTCTAATCTTCTAATAAAATATACTATTAAGAAATTACATAGTATTTCAATTTAATGACAGAAATGTAATTATTAAAACGGTACAGAGAGAAGATTATACATTTGTTAATTTTGCAACGTTTTCGTTATTTGAATTACACATTTATCGCTGTGAGATATATTGTATATAATGAGAAACGTGTACAGGAAGTACAGGAGTCTCGAAAGAAAATGATTATAATTATAATAAAATCATAAACATTTCAAAAAATTTCGAAAGTTAATCGCAGTCGACATAGGGTCACTGAAGGCCCAGAGGTCGTGCATTCTTGGCACGATAGGGCAATTGCCGTGCCAAGAGTTTTGAGCAAGTACATCAATTTTCTAGCCGAGTATGCAGTCGCATGCTCTTTAATCATCAACTGCAAACAAACTTGCTTACAAAATTTGTGCCTAAACATTTCACTTAAGTTCTAAAGTAGAAGTATCGCCAAAATCGAAATGAAAATTAATGGAATTAGCAGAAATTAGCCGGTTATCTTTGAAAATTTTCTTTATTTATAGACTTATATAAAAATCGATTATGAATTAGATAGCTAAATATTCCCCGTCTAAATAAAATATACTTGCGGATAAAAATATCGAGATGGAAAATAGAATTCGAGAAAGGGAATTTCAGAGAATGAGACAAACGGAATCTAAAGACAAGCTTTCATTCAAGTTCATCGTGCGAATCCCGACAGAGTATTCAATACCGTTATTTACCCAAAATAAAGATATTAGATAGATATTAGATAGACGAAACAGAGAGCGGTACTTATTTATCTCTAGCGGTACTTATTTGTCTCAATCTTCGCGTGTTGAAGTTAATCGATTAAGTTTGCAGTTTCGCGTAAGATTCCCTACGGCTAGGTGCCGATTTCTCGTTCCAAGAATTATGAAACTGCAAAGTTTGGAGTAACGTCAAAAGACGCGTAACGATGAGTGATTGTTATTGTTGATTCCGCGAGTAAATTGTTGTAAATAAGTGAAAGTTGCGAAATGATCTAGATTCATCGGCGAATGGAAATTTGAAACTTTGCACACGATTAATCAATCGTCTTAAACTTTCATATCTAAACTGTCATATCTAAATTAACAGTTAGCATTAACGTGATATATTTATTTTTTACATATAATATTACATATTTACATATAATATTACATATTTACATATAATATTACCAAATATTAGAGCCACTTGCGAAATTTATTTTGGATATGTTAACACCTAAAATTAAGATTAATAATTAAAGAGGAGCGAGGAAAATATTATTCGTTGTTATTTTCTCTGATTGCAAAATTCGAAAACGAAAGGGACGAGCAGTAAATTGTCGTTGACAAATCTCACATATATTTTAGCGTCAGCTAAGATAGCCAAGGTTGGTGATAAGCCACGATAAACAACGATAAACGGTAAATGTTGCATTTGTTTTACACACGAGGATAATCAACAATTTTTATCAACTGTTTTTTTTTTTGTCTGTTTCTCATACGAAGATTTATTCTGATTAATTTAGATTATTGTTTCGAAATTATTTTAAATTGAAAACTGAATCTGTTCATAGCGTGAAAGTGGTAACAAACTGGCGAAAATTATGGAGGGCTCAAACGAGATAGGAGGAAGGGCTCAAGCGAAAGATGCAGCGGATCTATTTTTAAACCACGACGAGCTTCCATATGCGTAGTCGTGTCTCCGGATATCGCGACGAATCAGAATGCGCATATCACGACGAATAAGAAGTCCGACGAATAAGAAGTGCTTGAATCTTTTCAGCCGAGTACGAGCCAAGTTTATATGGCGCATGTTAGAGTAGCTTGCAGACGTTATATCAACACTTCTCATCCAGATTAATCTGTTGATATGTTACACCATTTCGAACGTTGCCAAATGTAATTCTGACTTCACTTTTGGCTGTATTATGTACATTGTACAA